CCTTACTAGTAGTAACAGGTGCCTTACTAGTAGTAACAGGTGCCTTATTAGTAGTAACAGGTGCCTTATTAGTAGTAACAGGTGCCTTATTAGTAGAAACAGGTGCCTTATTAGTAGTAACAGGTGCCTTACTAGTAGTAACAGGTGCCTTACTAGTAGAAACAAGTGCCTTACTAGTAGTAACAGGTGCCTTATTAGTAGTAACAGGTGCCTTACTAGTAGTAACAGGTGCCTTATTAGTAGTAACAGGTGCCTTATTAGTAGTAACAGGTGCCTTACTAGTAGTAACAGGTGCCTTACTAGTAGTAACAGGTGCCTTACTAGTAGTAACAGGTGCCTTACTAGTAGTAACAGGTGCCTTACTAGTAGTAACAAATTAGAATTAAATTTGAATCTCATTAAATTACTAGCAAGGGAATCTACTAGGACCTTTTCGCGCGCGCGGGGGTAGGAGCGATCGGACGCTACTAGGAGCCAAGGGCATTTCTACTACAAGCAAGGACGTAGGCCGCTAGAGGTAGCTAGAGGTAGCTAATAAGGAACCGAGGTAGCTAGTACCTACAAGTAAGCTACTAGTATGGACGCGAATGGCTCACGCACTCATGATTTGGTTTCTAGATGTTTAGGGAAACTTAAACATTAGAACTTGTAATAGCTACTACTAGCGATGGCCTCCAACCTGGGAAGAAAGACTGGAAAGAAAAAGAAAGGTCAAGGAAGGTTCGCATAGAAGGAAGAAACAGCTACTAGGAGCAAAGGGCATCGCTACTAGGAGCAAGGACACTACTAGGGGCTCCTGGCCTTACTAGGAGCAAGGACGCTAAGGAAGAAACAGAAGAGCATTTTGCCACATAGGTGTTGCGACTTCGTCCTCGCATGTGTGTAGCAACGAGTCGTGAGGTCCTGCATCAAAGGCTTTAAGAAGGAACAGTTTTCGTTTGTGGTTTATGTTTGGACTCTTGCGAAGCCATTCGAGAAGTAGCAAGCATAGTTAATGAGTTCAGGGATGCACAAGGATGCCAGGGTACTTGACAGGAGCCCTACTGAAGGGCCTTTGATTTAGAACTTGTCATAAGGAAGTGTGTGTAATGGTAGAGCATGTTCGAACGCATCTTCTGGCACGTCTTGTTTGTTAAGGGAAGGAGCGCTCAGAGACTAGAATAGAGAAGGTAGCCGTCCCTTTAATAGCTCAATTCGTGGAGAGGAAAGAGGGCCGTTTGAGGCGATTGAAACCTGTGATGCCGAGAACATTCACAAGTCCTTGGTGGAAGCCTGCAACAACAATGTCTCAGACAGCGTCCGGAATCCAAGAACGTAGCTACTGCGTGCAAGGCTTTAGCCCGCTCTGCCCTCCCCTCTACTTAAGTAAGGCGACTAGTTCGCTACTAGGTTAAGTTGTCTACTACATGTTGACGCAGGATTGTTTCCGTAGAAAGACCATGGAAGTGAGCGGCTCAACTAGCGCACTGGCCAGCAGAAAGAAAGTCACATCCATTCCCCGGGCGCTGATTTCAGAGAGGTTTGTAATCTGAAATGGATAGCGATGGCCTCCAACTTAGAAGCAAATGGAGATTTAAAAGAGATGTTCATGTGAGGAGCTGATCTTCCACGCGCGAGAGATGTTGGACCATTTGCTTTCCCTTCGGCAGCAGTTGCTGAAGGCTGTTGAGGTGCGAGGGTGAACCCATTCTGTTCAACGCGTGGTAGACATTTTGTTTGTATTTGCACGGACAAAAATGAAAGTAAGGACAGAAAGAAAGTAAGATAGATCTAAAACTCAAGAGAAGCGTGCGTGCATGAAGGGGACATTTGATCTCGGCTGTGGCCATTTTTTACAACAAGCGTGCAAGCGGGTGACGAAGCAGAAGGTTTTAGTTGAAAAAGATGTTGGCAAAGTCTGGAATTTCATCGAGTGTGTGTTGTGTTTATTACGTGATGCGTTAAGTTTAGCTATTGTAAACTATTAGGGATCCCATTGCTAGATTGGAGGCCATCGTTAGTAGTTCCTAGTAGCTTATTGTTTCTATTTATATATTGTTTCTACTAGCTTCTTGTTCCTAGTAGAAAGGCCCTTGCTCCTAGTAGCGATGCTCTTTGCTCCTAGTAGCGTCCCAAGGACGCTAGTAGCGATGCCCTTTGCTCCTAGTCGTCCTTGCTCCTAGTAGTA